GGTAATGTTGATATATATACTTTTTGCTATCAATGCCAGACATTGACGGTTCTACTAAACCATAAACGCATAATTGCAACATGTGAGATGAGATGTATCAGAAATATGGCAAGAAAAATGAGAAGAGACGGAGTCACCAAGGAACAATTAAGAGTAATGGCAGGCACAGTACCGAAATTAAAAGGAGGATGGCCATAGCAATGCAAAGATTGAACAACCTTAAAAGTCTATGGTTAAGCACCAGCAAGGAGATAAAAATTAGAATTTTGAGAGCATGCATCTTCCCTATGGTTACATACGGATGTGAGTCATGGACTATCTCTCAGTCCTTAAGAAAGAGAATAGGGGCTTTTGAGCTGAAATGCAAAAGAAAGATTCTCAGAATATCTTGGACAAAGAAGATGAGAAATATTGACAACTTAAAAGATCTGAACATCAAGGAAGATTGGCTAATAAACAGCATCCTTTCTCGAAAGCTGAAATATTTTGGTCATATCGAGCGCCACGACGGATTGGAAAAAATTATAGCAGAAGGCATAGTACCAGGAAGGAGGGGCAGGGGCCGACCGACACGAAGATGGGCACAGGATATAAGTGACTCCCTGACAGTGAAAGTTCATGAGGCGGGAGAACTGGCCAGAGACCGAGTTTCTTACAGGCAGACTGTGATGAGAGCGACGTTCTGCAAAGGACCTGCTACATGATGATGATGATGGTAGGCACAGTAGCAATAAATGCGTTCATGGAACATACAAAAATGAAACGGTTTGGTCATCTGGTCAGAATGGGGCAAAATCAACCAGCATCTGGTGCTTGCCTGAGGCCCGATAACAGCAAGCTACAAGGCTATGGACAGAGCAAGGGGTGAAGGTAGTAAAAGAAGTCACAACAGAAATCAATATGACATAAATACTAACACAAACTAAGTAACAAGCAAAAGACAGGAAACTATAGCTAACTACTCTTTGCGCCGCTTTATGGCATGAGTGTGACACAAGAAGATGCTCAAATATGCAGTCGAAAATAGGGGCGACTTTATTCAGCTTGATTCCGAACACGAGATTTACAAAATCATCCTATGTGGTGTGTGTGGGGGGAGGGGGGAGGACACAGTGCTCATCAAATAACATGTCGTAAACAGGGACTAATAAAGGATTTCCTTTCATTGGATGTATTGGGTCGAAAGATACAGATATCACAGCCTGCTGTAAACCAGAAAACAAGGCGAACCATAAACGCAGAAGAGAATAAACAGAACAGTACGAAGAAGAACAACGGAAAGAACTGAAAAATATATATTCCTACGGGCGAACCTTACGATCTGTTTTTGTGTTGTTTATTGACAAGACTTGTGCACAATCTCGTTTGTATTGGTTTAACGATTGCTGTTCTTTCCGTTGAGTTTCTTAGTCTTAATTGTGTTTTTTATTTTATTTTTATATATAGCCTGGAGAATATCAACTCAGGCTGCCGCTCAAAGTTTTTCGCTGTAGTATGTATGTGTGTGATTGGTTGTTTAAATGTGCGTGTTCGTACATCATATACAACCCCCATACATTTACCCCACCTGTTTCCAACCAGTGTGAGGCAGAAGCGCTAACATAAATAAAATAGAGGGCGCTCACTCCCCAATAATATCCTTGTTTAAGTAGGCAATAACAAAAAATTGTATTTTGTGCTGAATAAAAAAATAACTAGATTAATATATTTGAAATAATGTGGAATTATAAAAGAATACTCAAAATCGAGAAGGGTTAGGCGTGATTGCAAATTTTATTGGGAGTGCGGGGATTGGGGGGGGGGGGGTTTGGGCCACACTCAATATGCCTTAGCTCCCATGTTTCGGCTCCTCAGAGGTGAGGCACTAGGATGAATACATACAAAGGAAGATAACATATGTTGATCAATGAAAAAGGGATGCTATCTGTTAGTTACTTCCCTTATCTACTGGACATTTTCGGACATTTTTCCATTGCTGGCGGCCACGACTCGCTCAAGATAAGGCCAAACAGGTCAACGGGAATTCCAGTTTTTGTGAAAGTCCAAGAGGCTGGTCTATGATCACTATTTTTATCGAATAGATTTATACACAAATAAAGCTTAATTAATCTGCAAAACTTGATAATGAGTGATTTATCATTTTGAAAATAAATAAGTGTGCTATTTAAATTGCATAATTACTTTCAGTTACGTCCTTTTCAGGACGAAATTTTTTGTCATTTGAAGCCCCACCCTGGCTCTTGCCAGGGGCCGCAATATAGCCCGACCATAAATATGGTCTAATTGCTGAACGCAGTTTCTGGGACCTCTCCGCGGGTGATCCTCATCCACATGGTGGCACTTTATGTTATCGGGTGTTTATCGCTTGTGTGATGTCCTGGTGAAGTAAACATCTACAAATATTATCATAATGATTCTTGCTGACAAACATAGATGCATTTACTAGAATCATCATGAATACATATATAAACAACTAAATAACATTTAGCAATAAATTCAAACTATTCCAGCATAATTACTGAAAAATTAGTGCTCTTTTATTCTGAGAGGGTATTGCATCAGAGGACAGGGGGAGATGGTGACATTTTTACTTCAAGAAATTCAGCACATTAGAATAGACCATTCAACTGCAACTGCTGTGCAACATACACATATCATTCATAGCGTGAATATCAATGATTGAGGATTAATATTACTGTTTTTAGAATAATACAACAGATAATTATACTGTTATTTCATAATTAGCAAACAAGCAAGTGACTTGCTTTAGAAGGCTAGTAAATTAAGAACATTTTGTTTTTAATGTAGTCATATATAAAAGTGGTATGTGGATTTTTTTTTTTTTTTTTTTTTTTCGTAATCTTGGTTAATCTTTGGGAGACAGAACTTGAATATATTTAGGTTTTGTGTCCTTAAGGAAGAAAATACGGGCCTTTGAGATGAAATGCTACAAATGTAATGGACACACACACACACACACACACACACACACACACACACACACACACACACAAAATACTAACATTCTAAAAGATCTTAACCTCAAGGGAGATTGATTAATAAACAGCATCTTGTCTCGGAAACTGAAATATGTTGGCCAAATGAAGCGCTACGGCGGATTAGAAAAAAAACATAATAACAGAAGGATCGGTACCAGGAAAGAGAGGCAGGGGCACACAAGCGAGAATATGGACACTGAATATAAGTAACACATTTGGAAGAAAAGTACAGGAGTCGAGTTTGTTTTCAGGCAGACTGATGAGAGTGACACTGAGCAACAACTGCTACGTGATGAGGAGAGTTTTGATCTTGGCTGACAAAAGAGACGCCTTGAGCAGGAAAATGCACGAGGCAGGATAACTGGCTAGGGGACGAGTTTTGTTTCGGCAAGCTGTAGCGTGAGCGACCTTCTGTAAAGGACCAGCTAAATATGAGCGTACATGATGTCGATCATGATATTTGGTTGCTTGAGCTACTCCTTGCTTGATGTCAAACCAGACTGATGTCTCGCCATCGGTTATATTAGATGGCAAGACCACAGACTGGTTAGACATCAAGCAAGGATTTAAATAATGCGGACACAAACAATACATAGCACAATTTATTGCTAGTCATATTTCGCTGTATCTCGTTAGGTGCGTTACTACAGAGGTACATCAACATAAGATGAAGCACAAAAAGTTGAATAAATCCAACAGAAATGCGAATAGTTTCTTTCGACACATCGTTGTGTGTGTGTTTTTTTTTTTTTTTGTGTGTGGCCGTGACTTAACTGGGTAACTTCAAATTTACTATACATTCTGTCTGCTTACAAAGAAGGGGGCTGTTGACTTTAATTGTTAAAGCTTCGGCCATTCTCAACAGTCACCCGCTCGTTGTGTGATAAACCACACGGAAAGCACTGTCTGTGTCAGTTACGTGTCCGGAATTAAGTAGATGACGTCCTATGGAAGAAGCGGGTTCTATCCTCTTGACTGGTCTCGAGGGTAATATGATGCCCTTAATTTCGATGGTCATGAAATAGCAGAGATCCGATATGCCGATGATAAAGTATTTTTATCCATATCACAGACGTATAGAAAACGCAATAGCCTCAACGCAAAGATATAGTGAGAATCACAACTTATATCTTAGCATAGCAATAACAAAGATAATGCATACATATAAAACTACTAAGGAGAAAGAAATATATGTTAATGAGGAAAGACTGAAGGTTGTAGAAATTGTTTGAATATCTAGGGTCATTGATTGCCAACAATGGTGAAACCATGAAAATAATTGAAGAACGACTATCAGTTTCCTCTTCAAAGACTAAATAACTGAATAAATTATGGAGTGGGACAGACAGAACTAAAAAAAAAATGAAATTTCCAAGAGCATACATCTTTCCCATTGCAACATACACCTGTGAGACCTGAACACTTACTAAACAAGCTGAACAGTGCATTCATGCCTTTGAATACAAATAGTATGAATGACTTCTATGAATAGCATGGGTAAAGAAAAGAACAAAAGCATCCATACTTCAAGAACTGAATATTGGTTACCTAATAAATTTTTTTTTTTTAATTGAAATATTTTAGTCCATAAAACGTCAGGAAAGTTTAGAGACAACAATTTTGCTTGTGGTTGAGTTTTCCGGGTGGGGGGGGGGGGGGGGGGAGGAGGGGGTTGTTATGACCAGGGAGCAAGGTTCTGCAAAGAACATGCTACTGCCTGAATAAAACTACTCCACTTTCAGACACATAGTGCTTTTATTCTTTCTGAATAAGTGCTTAAAACAAGTGGCTTAGATAGAATTCAACTGTTCACACTATAATATTAAAGCGATGTATTATCTTTGACTATAATTCTGAATTATAATATATTTTTAAAATATTATAATTCTGAATTATAATATTTTTTTAAAATAGCTGTCCTGTTTAAATTACGGCAATATCCGGTTATTGCGATTTACTTTGGTCGCTTGTGTAATTATAGTTGTTGTTTAGGAAACGACAATGGCTGCCACCGAGGACTCTGATATTCCAGGTTGGTACAATAATTTTGCGTGCTCTTGATTTACTCAGACTATACTTTTTACAGTTTTTATCTGCCATTTTTTATACTGTCGTGAGTTATGAATTATGTTGAGAATTTAACTGCATAAATGTGAGCACACATTTGTTTTTATTCCTATTACTATTGCATCTCCCGCGCTTGAGGGATCTGTGTGTAAACAAGCCTTGTTTCTGATGAGAGTGGGAGTTCAGTTACAGTAGTAATTTAAGAAAAAATAAATTTTCGTTATTTAATTTCCTTTTGATATCCAGTTATTTAGCAAAGCAAGGAGCGTAATTTATCTTTATGATTAAACATATCATAAATCGTGACAGGATGATGATAATAATATAAGGTCTTGGCGCGCCAAGGTCTTCAATCAATGTCCAGAATCATCTAAATTAATTATTTAATATTTATTTTGAAAATCGTTTAGTAGAAAACTGGAAAATAATTGAATTTATAAATGAGAGAGAGAGAGAGAAAGAGCGAAAATCAGTTAATACTGTGTTGACTTTGAACAAAGCACTTATATCTATAGTTGTAATGAAACTTTCACTCAGCCTAAGCCTCTAATCAGAGGAATCACCTAATTATAATTATAAGTCTGCACACAACACATAGTGACACAGATACACACATTCACTGCACACAACACAAAAAGAAAAAAAGAAAGACAGACAGAGAAAGATCTGAAATGACAGCATTAGTGTGATATGTATGCTGAAAAAGGAAGGTAGAGTATTAGTAGTTTCATTAGTAGTCCAGACTCTCTATGCTATGGCATTTTGAGAGCAATAGGCACATCACCAGCAAACGACTTCAAATCCTGAGAACATGCATTTTTCCAGCGACAACATATATATGGATGTGAGTTATGTTTTTATTTTTATTTTTTTACAATCAATAAAAGAGAAAATCTGGGCTTTTGAACTTGGAAACCACTAATAAAGGATGTTTATAGACAGAGTGCACCTGCCTGAGAGGCAAGGAACCATCAGTTTGCATAGAAATAAACCATATCTGTAAAATGGATGTTCACTCAAAACTCAAGTTTTAGATAAAGTGCAGGAGGGGACGAACAACCAGAACTTTCCACCAGAGTTTACAACTGGTGAACGCTAAGAAGAAAAAGAAGAAGAAGACAAATGTAAAGGTCATTGTAAGACTAAAGTATCATGAATCAAGAAGAGGAAACATTTGTAAATTCTTCACAGTGTGGATTAGGGGGGAGGGGGGGGGGGGTCTTATAATCAATATTATTTCATCTAATCCAAAATACTTTTGCAATATTAAACACCATAATGGTTAGGAGAGTGGTGGCTGGTCGAATGGTTAAAAATGCTTGGCTCTCATGAAGGAGGTCTAGGTTTGAATCTTTTTTTCTTGTCAATAGCAAAAATAAAATCTTAATCTGCCCAGCACCAGCTATGCAGCCTTAAACCCTCAGGCTCAAAGACACCCCCCCCCCCCCCCCACCATCCCCATCCTGTTTACACCACAAAAGCGTCAGAGACAGGCAGTAATGATTGAACAGTAGTGGATGAATTGGTTCCTAGAAGAAAAGGTAGAAAATGGCCATCAAAACAGTGGATATCAGTAAATCACTTGACCCCTTTCCGACATGTTATGATCAAAACAGTGGACATCAGTAAATCACTTGACCCCTTTCCGACATGTTATGATCAAAACAGTGGATATCAGTAAATCACTTGACCCCTTTCCCACATGTTATGATCAAAACAGTGGATATCAGTAAATCACTTGACCCCTTTCCGACATGTTATGATCAAAACAGTGGATATCAGTAAATCACTTGACCCCTTTCCCACATGTTATGATCAAAACAGTGGATATCAGTAAATCACTTGACCCCTTTCCGACATGTTATGATGAAAACAGTGTTCTTCAAAAAACCTGTTAGATCGGTAGTTTTCAGCTTGGGGTGGGGAGGGGTGGGGGGGCATAAAGAAGTTTCAAGGGAGGCAGCAAGCAGTTTTGAAACTAAATGCATTTGTACTTGAAATGATCTGTTATACTGACATTTTTTTTCCAGTTTAATTAGAAATAAAATACTTTTTTAAAGACCTATTTATACAACAAAGAGCCGGCTATCCTCCGAATAACAGTCGTAAATTATTGAGTCGGAAAATATACCCTAACAGGGCCTCAGTCACGTGTCAATTGCACGCTTCCGGGGACTATAACGCCACTGCCGAATTGCGAACTTCTGGTAACTTCCGCTGCCGCCGAGAGTGTCCCACACGCCGCTCACGCGGCGTGGATTGGGGCTAAACTAAATAGCTAGGACTCACGAGCAAATAAAATGAAGGAAGCTGCAGGAGATACGGTACCTGCTGCTCGTGAGTCCTAGCCATTTAGTTTAGCCCCAATCCTACGCCGCGTGAGCGGCGAGGGGGAGACCCTCGGCCATGGCAGAAGTTGCAGAAAGTTCGCAATTCGGTGGTGGCGTAAGTCGCAGGAAGCTCGCATTTTAAGACAACGGAACTGCGCAATTGACACGTGACTGAGGCCCTGTTAGGGTATATTTTCCGCCTCGATAATTTACGACTGTTATTCGGAGGATAGCAAAAAAGCCAGGACATTGTGTTATTTGACTCTTTGATTTATGTGGATGTTTTTTCTGCAATAGTTTTTGGTTTTCTTTCCCCTCACCCTTCTTCATCTTATCACTTTTTTAAAAGTTGGGGACAGGGGGGGGGGGGGGGGGGGGGGGGGGGGGGGGGGGGGGGGTGGAGTGGGTTGGTGTCCTTGCCATATTTTTTTTTAATGTGAAAACCACTGTGCTAGATGAGGATAGCATGTCTTTCGTAATCAGGGTAAAGACTTAAACCTGCCATCTTGTATTGTTGTCACTTTTGATTCTTCTTCTTCTTCGATCCTTCTGTCAGAGAACTTATATCAGGAAGCCGGTAGCCTTTATGAAAGCTATCGTGCAATCCATATCTTCTTGTGTACCATACAGTTTTGTCTTCATTGTGGTTGGAACAGACCAGGTGTCAGAATGACTTTTGATTGATACCTTAGATTTTCATTTAAAAAATGTATGCACTCAGTACGGAACTTAGCAGAGCAAACTAATTTTATTGCCTGTGGTTATCCACAGAGACCGGGGCAGTTTTCACCTTTGGCAAGAGCAAATTTGCCGACAATTTACCCAACAAATTTTGGGTCAAGAATGACAGAGTCACTCAAGTTGCTTGTGGGGATGAGCATACAGCACTTATTGTTGGTGAGTTTATTACACTGAATGTACTCGCCATCATCATTGTGTGCCAGACCACATGGTATTGAAACTCCTGTCTCTCAATCGTTGGTTTTCTGGTCCAGCTGTGTAGATGATATTCTTCCATGCTAGTGCCTTAGACCATCCAGTTTTATTTTCCTTCTTCTGCCACTACCTTTTCTACCTCTGATCTTTTCAGTAATTCTTATGTTCCCCCAATTAACTCTAATCTCACTGCATGCCTAAAGAATACTGTCCCCTTCTTAATATTATCACTGACTAAGTCCCAAACAATTGCTGATGTGTCAATGCATCTAATCCTTCATTCGCCTCTGTAGCATAATGCATTTTTTTTTTTTTTTATTATTGTTGCTCACACCACACTAAAGTAATCTGGTTTTCCAAAATGTTTATTACCATTGTATTTGTATACTGCCACTTTGAAAATAATTCATTCACAATATTTCAACATTGCTACATCTTCACTTTGAAATTTCCTGTGAATCCTTCTGGTACGGAAAGAGTACTGACATGGCAGATTTGCTTCTCTGTGTCCTAGGATCTTCAACGGCATGTATAATTTTCTGTGAGCTGATACCAATCCTCAGCAAAATGCTGTCACAAATCTTCTCTTATTGTCTCTTACATCAGTCCTTACCAAGCAGCTAACATTATGGAGATCCAAAAACATTTCATGCAAAATAAGATTCCATTGCTCAGAGCACTAGCTATTAGTACATTTACATATGGCTGTGAAACATGGACCTTAACAACTGAACTTAAAAGGAAGATACAAGCATTGGAAATGCGATGTTTCAGAAAAAAAAATTTAATTTGCATATCATACAGAGACCACATTACAAATGAAGAGGTTGCGATATTATTATCAAGCACATTAGCAACTATGAACCTCTTTTAACTTATGTGAAAAGGCGAAAAATGAAATGGTATGGACATGTTGTAAGATCTAACGACCTCTCAAAAACAATACTGCATGGCTCAGTAGAGGGAAAGAACAGAAGAGGCAGACCAAGACAGACCTGGTTACAGAACCTGACTGATTGGACAGGCTTCAGGCATGCAACCATGAAGTCATCACAAATGACCGCCAGAGGTGGAGAAATCATGTTAAAAGGCTACACATAAATATGTTATTTAAAAAAAAGAGAGAGAAAGAGAGAGACATGAAAACTCTCTGTGAGATCAGTGAAACTATTATTTCTTTTTTTTTTCCAATTTTTTCCAGAATCAGGGCGTGTTTTTATGTTTGGACTCAATGACTGGGGTCAGCTAGGACTAGGTCAGGAGGTCAAGCCTGGAGTTAACAAGCCCAGCTGCATAAAGAGTATGTTTATTTTTATTCATTAGTTTACTGTAATTGTTTAAAATGTTGCTCCCTCCTATTAGTGTGTAATTTTGCTCTTGGTTTTGTTACAAGTTACTCATGTTTATCATTGTTTTTCTTGCTCAACTGTTGTATATATATCGCTGTTTAATGTTGTTTTATTACGCAATTAGAGTATACTCATGCCTCATAGAGCCAGTTTTAACATATGGCTGTAAATCTTGGACATTTAAACAAATCAAAAGGTTCCTCAACTCCTCGGTGATGAAGTTTTACCAAAGAATGCTTAAAATTCTTGGACAGCCTGAAATAGTAACTCAGGTGTTTTGAAAGTGGTGAGAGCCAGAAGACAGTTTTTGACAAACACCAGAAAGACCATGCTATGAGAAGAGGAAAACTGGAACGTGTAGTGATTACTGAAAAGATTTGTAGAAAGCAAGATAGAGAATGTCAGTGTGAACAGATTCTTGACAACCTTTTATTATGGCATGGAGGGGTGCCTGCACATAAGCTGATGTATGTCGTTAGAGATTGCAGGTTATCAAGAGGCATGATTACTTACGCCAGTTGGCAAGGCACTTGATGATGACGATGTGAGGGCATTGACCCTCAGCCAATACAGGCCAGGTTGCTTATCTTTTGCTGTCTCCAGCAACTATGTAAAGCAAGTTGGTACTGGAATTAATTCTTGTAACCACCACAAATGTCCTATTGTTCCATATTGTTGTCTATATTGCTGTTGATTCAGGAATATGAATTGGGGGGGGGGGGGGAAGAACCACACATGCTGACGCACCAAGACCATGGTACAAACTGGTCAAAATCTCTACCTCTCCACATTCATCATAGAAACAGGTTCTCTGCCAGGGGCTTGGCCAACATAGATAGGATCGATGCTTCCTTTGAAGTCGGGAGGCATCTGACTGAAAGGCCAGGAAGCAAGAGTCTGCTCACAGATAAGCCAGATCTGTAAAACAGGTGTGAGTGCAACACTCAGGTCCTAAAACAAGGCCAGTTTCCAGAAGTGGACAAACAGCAGGACTTTCTGTTAGAGTTCACAACCAGAGAACACTAACAGGAAGAAAAAAACAGAAATGTGAACATGGACTGAATGGTTGAATGTGCACTGAGAGTGATATCTTGACTAATTATCTTGACTGCATGTTTCTCATGCCTTGTCTTCTGCAGCACTGAGAGTGATATCTTGACTAACTATCTTGACTGCATATTTCTCATGCCTTGTCTTCTGCAGCACTGAGAGTGATATCTTGACTAACTATCTTGACTGCATGTTTCTTTTGCCTTGTCTTCTGCAGCACTGAGAGTGTTATCTTGACTAACTATCTTGACTGCATGTTTCTCATGCCTTGTCTTCTGCAGCACTGAAGCATGAGAAGTCCAAGCTAGTGGCCTGTGGGAGAAGTCACACGCTTATATCAACGGGTAAGCACCTTTTAAAGACAGATTTAATGAGAATAAATCAGGACAAAAGTAATGTGGTTTCTCTTATTGGTACCCCCACTCTAAGACGTGGAATCATATACCTATTTGGGTAGTAATGTAGACAAAGATAGGAGGACTGACAGAGATATTAAAATATGAATACAAAAGACAAGAGAAGTTTTCATAGCACTAGGGAATTTGTGGAGGTCGAAAGAAATTCAAACTAATACTAAACTTAAAACATTTATTCTGTCAAATCACTACTGTTGTAGGGAGCAGAAACATGAGCAAAACTAAGGCAATTACTAATAAACTACAAACAATCATTAACTGGAGCCTGGGCAGAGTAGAGAGAATTAAGTGGTATGATAGAATCACTGTACTAAGAGGTGAAGAAAATATGCTGGCATTGGATAGGACACACATTGAGAAAACCTGTGAACAATATAACTAGAATGTCTTTGCACTGGAACCCATAGGGGCACTGAAATAAAAGAAGACCAAGAAACACATGGAGAAGAGAGCTAGAGAGTAAAATTAAAAAGATGGGGGGAAGGGGAGATGCATTATTGCATGCTGTAGCAAAAGATAGAATGACTTGGCTAAGTTGGTTGAGGGCCTATGCTCCATTGGAGGCTAGAAGGCAGAAGAAGAAGCAGCTTTTCTTTAGGAGAAATATATTTGTATAAAGAGGTAAGCTATTGCCTGTGGAAGAGGTCAATAAGCTATAGTAAGTAAATTTTGACCCACCAGGACATCACACAGAGTGATAAGCACCCGGGGACACAAAGTGCCACCTTGTGGATGAGGATCACGCATGAAGAGGTCCTGGAAACTGCGCTCAACCGTCATGCTATATTGCAGCCCCTGGCACGAGAGAGTGGGGCTTCAAAATAACGAAAAATTGCCTCCCACAGGGGGACGAATTGAATTACGAAGATGGTTCCAGTCAGTAAGTTATGCAGTGGAGACTGCTTAAGGTGATCTCGGATGTTGTACATTTCTGTGGTGAAGAAGAGTTGGTTTACTCCTGGCAGTTTTCTTGCTTAAAGTCTTATCTGGATCAGACGAATTGCTGATAATAAGACCTATTTCTTGGGTTCCTGGTGAGTTCTCCTTATCAGGTCTGCACTGGATTAACTGATGGCTTCCTTCTGGCAGATATAATTGGCACTATCCCAAAGTCACCTAAATGCAATATTGGGGATTTTCATCTCAGTGCACTCTGTAATATGCCCAAAGGCACACATGTAAATTCCTGCTCCATGGTGGTTAAAATGAAGTAATACTTTTCATGCAGCTACTAAGTTTTTGTGTGCAACTTAAAAAAATGAAATGTTCAAACATGATTTTCTTGAAACAAAAATTTAACATGTAGTTGGCTTTGGGCCAGTGCCAACAATATGATATTTCATTCCATTAATCGTAATGGTCACATGTCATACCTACAACAAGCAGTTGATAAATAATGACTTTCCTTTTTTGCAGAAGCAGGCCACATTTATTCATTTGGAAGCAACTGTGAAGGCCAACTTGGCATTGCAGACGCACCTGACCAGTATACTCCGAGACATGTTGTGTCCCTGGTACCAGCACATTATACAATGTTATCTGCAGGCTCTGACAGTTCCATGGCTTTAACAGGTTTGTCAGTTTCACTCTGGAATGATGTTTTTTGTTTGTTTTCTTATACAGGATGATTTGATGGCTATTATTGTGTACACTATATTGTTGGCGCTTCTCTGTATTTCCTTATTCACCTTCCCTTCTGGATTTTCCCCTTCACCCAACACAGTCCTTGACAGATCTCCCCTCCCCCTTTCTAGCTGAATACCCAAATCATCCCACTTGCACACATCATTATTGTAATATATTTAGTTTCTTTCATACAGCTGTTGTCACTGGTAAAGGTATATTTGGTTTCTTTCATACAGCTGTTGTCACTGGTAAAGGTATATTTGGTTTCTTTCATACAGCTGTTGTCACTGGTAAGGGTATATTTGGTTTCTTTCATACAGCTGTTGTCACTGGTAAGGGTATATTTGGTTTCTTTTATACAGCTGTTGTCACTGATATGTGTGTATTTTAGTTTCTTTCACACAGTTGTTGTCACTGGTAAGTACGTATTTGGTTTCTTTCATACAGCTGTTGTCACTGGTAAGGGTACAGTTGGTTTCTTTTATACAGTTATTGTCACATCTTCTACCCATCTGTAATTCATAAATGTCTTTAGGAGCATCCTCCATTCTCCAAGTGTGAACAATAACTGACCTTCATTACTCAGTGTCATTTCTTCAGTGAAAGTTGGCAGTAATGAATATCCAGTCGCAGTGAAATGAGATAATTATATACGTTTTCTGTTGCTCCACATTTCCAGAGGATGGCAGGCTGTTTGTCTGGGGCGGCAATGAGGATGGAAAGCTTGGTCTGGGTGAAGACATCCCAAGTTCCAGTGTTCCAGAGCATTTGGAGTTTGACCATCCTGTTGTATGTGTGTCATGTGGCTACTATCATACAGCTGTTGTCACTGGTAAGTGCGTATTTGCTTTCGGTCATACAGTCATTATCACTGGTAAATGCATATTTGGTTTCTTTCATGCAGCCATAGTCACTGGTAAGTGCGTATTTGGTTTCTATAATGCTGCCATTGTCACTGGTTAGTGCAAATTTGGTTTCTTTCATACAACTATTATCACGGGTAAATGCATATTGGGTTTCTGTCATACTTCCATTGTCACTGGTAAGTGCATGTTTGGTTTATTCTTCTTTCATTTTCCTGTTATGAGTTGTCTATTTCTGCAATTTTGTCCCTCTAATAAATTTTACTATCTTGCTTAGTTAATTCAGTAGTCCATATTCTCGAGTGAGTTTCGGGGCTCTGTTTTAGAGATCAGAATATAGACCCAATCCCCACCTAACAAGCATGTCATAGGAGGTGACTAATTAGTAGTGGCTCCTTCAGAGTCGGGGTGCATCTACCTGAAAAGTAAGCAACCAGGCAGTCTTTTATAAATAAGCCAGATTTGTAAAACAGATGTGCAGACAAAACTTAGCATCTGCATCAAGACCTAAGTCCAGGAGTCGATGAACAAGCACAACTCTCTGCCGTAGTTGATAGCCAGTGAATGCTACGAAGAACAAGAGAGAGTGGTCCATAAAGTGTATTTTCAACTCTAGTTTTTTTTAATTTGGCCACAAGATTAACCCTAATCTGTCTTATTTGATGCAGTCTTGGAGTGTTCTGCCATCTTGGGTAACATTCCACACGTACACATAGTTGGTAAAACAATTTTAAATTGCATATACATGTGGCTGCATAATCTGATTGTTTAATTGGATTTATATATTCTAGTTTTCATGGCACTAGAAATCTGTGGATGTGGAAACAAAACAAAAAACAATGAAACTGGGTGTCAAACTTCAAGTCTGTAACTCAGACAAATGGGTACTGCTGTATAGTGCAGAAATGTGAAGAACAAACAAGCTGTCTTTACTGTTTTTAGGATTATGTAGGACTGGGCTATACAAAAACAAAAATATTCACACAGTCTTGTCTGAAGCAAGTTAGAGAATTAAAATATGTAGAAAGTACATGTTTCCCCCAAGTATAAGACAATCCCATGTAATTGATGCAACTTGATTTTGGGACTGGAAATTTTGGAAAAAATTATTCATGTGATTGCACTTTGTTTCATGAACCTTAATTATTACCTTATTTTTTACCAGCAGTTCTTCTTGACCTATGCTGAACCGTCTTAGTGCACACAGGAATTCCATTTGCTCTTTGCTCTGTATCTTCAGTTATTTAGTTGCTTATCTTTTGCAGGACATTGCAGAACTAACCCTAGCATTATATTTTTTTAGCTGTTGTGGTTTTTCTAGGCAGATTTATGTCCAGTAGTTTGCCATTGCTTTCTGGACGGTCGGCTCTCGATACCACTGTCGAAACCCAAGCAAGGTCTGCAGCTGGGATCGAACCCGGCATTACGAAGCGCATTCGCAGTGTCTTAGCCACAGACACCAACTTCAGTACACTCTCCAAATCAAGCCATTCTGCTGACTTGCCTCTCTTCTTCTGTGGCTTCTACAGTAGGGTTTCTTTTTGCCTGTAGCAAGTCTCCGATTGTTTTTCAGTGCTAGGAGGACCAAATTTACATCCTGGTGAACGATTTCCATTCACTTATGCAAACTGAATCATTTTAAGTTGAATTCAGCACTGTAAGAAAATCTTTTCTGAGACTTTTACGGGCAAAATGCATCCTAATGTAACAAGTGCGAAACAGTGAGTGTAATGACAAGTGCAGAAACTATTACAATGTTATATATTATTTACTGGTATCTTATTACATCATTCTGGAACCATGGAGTTCATGCTTTATGCAAATCTCTCAAAGAGAGACTGAGGATATGGGATAGAACTCTCTGCAGTAAAGTTGATCCTTTCAACTTAAACTTCTTTAACTTATCTTAATACTAATATGTTGTTTACATAAACATTACACTGCCATTAAAAAATAAACATTTTTGTTTACAGGTGATGGTAAGTTGTACACCATGGGAGAATCAGATGGAGGCAAACTTGGCTTACCTGCAGATGTCAAAAACACAAAAGTGCCAAATCATGTCACTGCCATTCCAGATCCTGTCAAATGGGTGGCATGTGGTAGTTCACACACCATAGCCTTAACAGGTAGCCATTCTTTTATTTTTTTTTTTAATTATCAGCCTGTCTTTACAGTGAACAACTTACTGGCATCTACTGTATTAAAACCAAAAAAAAACCACACATGCCCACAAAATACATAGCTATTTGAAAGAGCATATGTTTGTCATAAACCCTGACATTCAAAATCCGAGTAATTTAATGAGTGAAATTTTTCAAATTGCACAGAAGAGTACCTTAGTGTTCAACCAATCAGTTGACAGTTCTTTTGAATCTAGGTCATTGATCAATTTTAGGTGTACAGACTTTTCCGTCAACTAATAAATATGTGCCATTGGATAACTGTTTCATTTTTTTTTTTTTTTTTACAGTTTATAAAAAGGCTTCTAAACTAGAATCTCTCTATTTCAACAGCCCCGGCTAACTAGATGAAGTGGATATTTCTGTCTAGCCTTATAAGTCTTGCTCTGGTGACCACACCACTTGTCGTATTTGGGAAGATTGCCTGCTTTATTCATAGTTTAGACATTCTTAACCCATCAGGGTTCAGTATTCTTTCATCTTTTTCTTCTTCTTTTGTCGTCTCACTCTTACCAGGTTGTAGCCCAGTGTCGTGGTTTTCTGTATTTGTTTTGTGCTTCTTGGGTCACTTTTATATATATATATATGCTGTTCTTGTTTCATGTGCGCTATCCTTTGCTCTGTTTATTTTTCTTTTATTTGCATATTCATAATTTTGTTTTTACATTTGTTTTGTGTTTCAACACCTCTTTCTTGTTCTGCCCCTGCACATTTTCTTTACCAAAACATAGTGTTTTGTTTATGTTATTTTGTGAAGCAGTTGGATGATTTATTTACGGTTGTGATATTTCCATTTTCTAAGAAAAATTTGATTTTGGCATTTTAGTTTATTGACAAAGACTTTGGTTTGCTGGATGGTGTGTATCTTTTCTGCTTTTTGTTGAGCTTTTTTTTTTATATTTTACCTGCGTTGTTATTCAGTAGGATCTGTGCTCAACAGATAGTTGAACCAGAATTTATTAAACAAGAATTTATTACTTAGTTAATATAAGAGCCAGTAGACTTGAGAACTCATTATCCTAACGAGCCTTTCGATAGACTTGATCACCCAGGCATGGGTGTGAGTTGATTAGTGCCGTAGGTTTTCCGCTTCTAGGCACTGTACCTCTAGGGTCTACCAGCTCCAAGATCCACTGCTAGCTCGGCTTATGCCAGTTCTGACCATTCTCTGTGATGCACAACATGGGTGTGTGGCAGGAGTCTTGCACAAAATTCCTTAAAATCAGCACAGAGGTGAAGTAGGGGGTAGCCCCATTTGCACAGCACAATGGATTTAACGTTCTCTGACTGCCTGTGACCAAAATCACTACACCAATTAACTATTCTGCAGAAAAATGCTGAGCCATATGGGATATACCCCTAAACAATCAAGTCTGTTCTGTAGATTTTAAACATTCTTATGTGAAGAAATACCCATCACTGAAACCTTACATTCTTGTGTAATGAAATACCTGTGTCTAAAAACCTTTGCATTCCTGAATGATGAAATACTTCTCACCAAAACCTTACATTCTTGTGTAATGAAATACCTGTGTCTAAAAACCTTTGCATTCCTGAATGATGAAATACTTCTCACCAAAACCTTACATTCTTGTGTAATGAAATACCTGTGTCTAAAAACCTTTGCATTCCTGAATGATGAAATACTTCTCACCAAAACCTTACATTCTTGTGTAATGAAATACCTGTGTCTAAAAACCTTTGCATTCCTGAATGATGAAATACTTCTCACCAAAACCTTACATTCTTGTGTAATGAAATACCTGTGTCTAAAAACCTTTGCATTCCTGAATGATGAAATACTTCTCACCAAAACCTTGCATTCTGGTGTAATGAAATACCTGTGTCTAAAAACCTTTGCATTCCTGAATGATGAAATACTTCTCACCAAAACCTTACATTCTTGTGTAATGAAATACCTGTGTCTAAAAACCTTTGCATTCCTGAATGATGAAATACTTCTCACCAAAACCTTACATTCTTGTGTAATGAAATACCTGTGTCTAAAAACCTTTGCATTCCTGAATGATGAAATACTTCTCACCAAAACCTTACATTCTGGTGTAATGAAATACCTGTGTCTAAAAACCTTTGCATTCCTGAATGATGAAATACTTCTCACCAAAACCTTGCATTCTGGTGTAATGAAATACCTGTGTCTAAAAACCTTTGCATTCCTGAATGATGAAATACTTCTCACCAAAACCTTACATTCTTGTGTAATGAAATACCTGTGTCTAAAAACCTTTGCATTCCTGAATGATGAAATACTTCTCACCAAAACCTTACATTCTTGTGTAATGAAATACCTGTGTCTAAAAACCTTTGCATTCCTGAATGATGAAATACTTCTCACCAAAACCTTACATTCTTGTGTAATGAAATACCTCTTCCTAAAAACCTTACATTCTTGTATGATGAAATACGTCTTCCTAAAAACCTTAACATTCTTGGATGATGAAATACCTCTTCCTAAAAACTTCACATTCCTGTATGATGAAATACTTCTCACCAAAACCTTACATTCTTGTATGATGAAATACCTCTTCCTAAAAACCTTACATTCTTTTATGATAAAATACCTCTTCCTAAAAACCTTACATTCTTGTATGATGAAAAACGTGTCACTGAAACCTCTTAACAGAATTTGGAGAGGTCTATGTGTTTGGTGAAGGAGAGAATGGACAGTTAGGTCTAGGAACAGAATTGTTGTCAACATCTACTCCAACACATCTGCAGCTGCCATTCAAAGTAGCATGGCTGTTTTGTGGCCAAGATTTCACAGCATTAATATCAGGTAAGCACTGATGTTGTGTTTATTGAGTCTTTTACACATATGATTAAAATCCTTTTTTTTTTGTTAATGTTCTTCTTCAAGGGAAGAGTCAATTGATCAAGAGATGTCATTCAGTCAAGTCAGTGGATGCAAACTATGGAAAATTCTAGAAGATTATGGTATTTATGATCAGCTATTGTGTAACATCGTGGCTCTTTATCATGATAGTCGGTGCACAGTAAGAACAACAAAAGGAATGGCAGACTGGTTTCCCATCTCATCAGGTGTCAGACAGGGATGTGTCCATTGCTGTTCATTACTTACATGGATAGAATATCACAGGAGGCAAATACAGACACAGAAGAAATCAGTGAACTTCTTTTTGCAGACGATCAATGTCTAATAGACCACCAAAAACTTAATTTACAACACCATATTGACTGCTTACGTCAAAACTGCACAAAGTTTGATAGGAGAATAAACACAGCGAAAACTGAGGTAATGAGAATAGGCAGGAACATAATATAATCAAGGTTCGTGTTCATGTGCTACAGTCAAAGAAGTACAAGAATTCCATTATCCAGGAAGCATATTTACAGAGGATGGCCGATTTGATAGAGAGATAGAAGCCAGAGTACAAAAGGCAAATGCTGTCGCCTACCAGTTAGGCTCACTGCTCAGACGCCCACATGTCTCCCTCTAGCAAAACAGCAAATGATTAATAGCATCTTTATCCCTACTTAATATTAACAGTGCCAAACATGGACAGTAAATAAAGCACTGGAACAGAAAATAACAACGTGTGAAACATGCTGTCTCCACAAGGACACTAACAACACAAGAAGAGACAGGGTTACGAATACCAACATTAAAGATGAAGTTTGAATAAGACCATGTCTGGATTATGTTGACAGACAAAGAATGAAATGGTTCGGACCTCAAGTGAGAATTCAGCCAGACCAAACTGCATGTGTGACTTTTTTCATCAGAACATCTGGGAGGAAGGCAAGAGGAAGACCAAGATGGAGATGGATCAATGGTGCAGCTGAAACCTACAAAAAGATAAACAAATGCATCACACAAGCCAGCCGAGAAGCATAAGGCTATTGCAGAGAACCATGACACTGGGCTACAACTGGTATCATTGAGACAACGAAAGAAGAAGAATCATGTTCTTTTTCTTTTCTTCACTTCCTCTGTTATCACTTTTGAAGAATATCGGTGCAGATGAGAAGTAGAACTAGTTAACTTCACAACAGCATAATCCTAAATGACAATAGTTTTTTTCTTTATCTTTTTCAATACCTGTTACTTCAAAGTTTAGTCAAGTATCCTTTGCTTTAAATATATATATATATATATATATATATATATATATATATATATATATATATATATATATATATATATATATATATATATATATATATATATATATATATATATATATATATATATATAGTACAGCTTATGTTATCATATCTCAACAGTTGATTCCAACAGTATGAATCATCATCAAGTGCCTTGCTGACTGGCGTAGACTATCGTGCTTCTCCACAATCTGTGATCTTCAACAGCATGTATTGGTTTGTGTTTTGACACTCCTCCATTGCCATGACAAAAGACTGTCGATTCTTCTTGCATTGTCTTCCTCAGTCTCTTTTCCCACAGAGCTTTCCAGTGGTCACAACATGTTCCAGTTCCCTTCTTCTCATGATATGATCTTTAAAAATGATGATTTTCTCTTTCTGATGTTTATGATAAGTTGTCATCTAGCCCTCACTTCTTTCAAAACATCTAGGCTGCTGTTTTTGGCTGTCATAAAAGATTTTAGAATTCTGTAAAACCACATTTTTGAGGCCTTAAGAAATTGTTGGGCTTGTTTATTAATAATCCAGAATTAACAGCCACTATGCTCTATGAATACCTAACCTAAAACTGTGATACCACCATATACCCACAGCTCTGAGTATGGATAAAGATGCTTTACATTATATTAGTAACATGTTATCATCGATTGATTGCAAGAATACAGATGTCTGCCTGTTTTGATACAGAAAAGGGTCAGTTGTACACATTTGGAGATGGAAGGTATGGCAAGTTAGGGCATGGCTCCGACCAGTACTCTAATCTCTACAAGCCGAATCACTGCAAGCGATTCTCTCACTTCACAGTTGAAAAGGTGAGTTTTAGCTTGCTTGTCTCGTTGTTTTCATCACCATCATGTGTTTGCAGATGGCATAGATCTTCATGTCTCTGCACAGATCTTGGTAACTGGTGATCTGGATGAATTCATTTCTTCTTCTTCTGTGTTTGTCCTTAAAAGGGCTGTTAGCACAATTGTGTTGTGGTTTACAGCAAGGCTGTGATATTTGCGCCTTTCAGCCCAACTCATCCATATTCTGCAAACCCCTGATTAGTCACATTTCATTACATGCTTGTTATGGGGCAGGGGGTCTTTTCGTCTCCCCCCCCCCCCCCTGGTGTCCAGGAGCCCATATGGGGAACATGTGAATATGGCACTTAAACAGTATTGCCATCTTTGTTCTTGCAGTTGACAAAATTCATAACAGCTGGGACATAAAATGGAGCCAGATCACACTATTCAAGGATTTTAACACCACCGCAGTACAGATTGGCAGGATCATCATGCTGGCAATAAAAAATCCCCTGGTTGCTATTTTTAGTAAATGCGGTCATAACCGCTCCATCTAAACACTTCACAGTCACAGAACGGATAAATATTCCTCTCTGGGCCTGGAAAGTATCAGGGATTTATAATTGGTGTAAAACTTACTTCAGTTTTTGGGAGCCAGAATATACTGACCTGTGTTGTTGGTCAGTCCTTGCATCTTATATGTGCACAGCAGAGAGGAAGAGAGTTAATTCAGGTTTATTGCACAAAGAAAGCCACAACAAGTTTTAAATGCATATACATAAATGTGTGTGTGGAAAGGGGGAGGGGGGTAACGTAGAGGCTAGACACTCACTTACCAGCTCGAGGGTGTAAGGTTCAAAACTGTATCGAGGCAGATATTTTTCAATAACTGACTGTGGCACCCAGGTCGAGGCAGCTTAAATTGGGTACCAAGTAATGTTTAGGGAAGTAAAGTTGACTGCTGTGACCACATCACCTACTGACTTCTTCGTGTGTGATCCAGGGCTCGATTGTAGGGGAAAACAAGAACAGACCCACTGCTTCTCCAACAGGCATGTCGTAGGAGTCGACTAACGTTAGACTTCCTTCAAAGTCAGAGTACATCGGCCTGACTGGCAAGGAACAACCAACTAATAACCACAAATAAGTCAGCAAAACAGATGTTCACGCAAAACTCAGGCCCTGGCACAAAGGGAAAGTCCAAATGGATGAGGGACCAGCACTTTCTGCCAGAGCTTACAGCTGGTGAACAAAGAAGAAAACCAATTTGTCTATACAATTATAGGTGTAGAACTTTATGCCAATGTGCAAACAGCAGGACAATCATCCTTTACTTTACTTTTTTCATGAATGTGTCCCCAGGTAGCCTGTGGTGGTTGTCATATGATTGTCACAGCTAGGATACAAGATGGAAAGATCGAAAGCGAAGATGAGGCAGATGAGTTGAAATTCCTAAATGATACCCTCAGCAAATCAGAAGAGTCGCCTTCCTTAACCAGGTCGCTGTCGGCCCGAGAGAGAAGACGTAATGAATTACAGGTCTTAGAGTTTTGCCATTTCTAAACAATAATTATGTATTGTCTCCTATTGCAAAGGTTGCCGTCTGTGTGGGTTCCAGGCTCCATTTTGAGAACAAACAATAGATCCAATGTCCCCTTAACAGGCATGTCCTGTTAGGAGAATAATTAATAGTTTTCCCTTCAAAGTCAGAGTGCGTCTGCATCAGAGGCAAGGAACCAACAGTCTGCCTACAGATAAACCAGATCTGTAAAGTGGATGTGCACACAAAACAAGTTCTGAATCAAGACTAAAATCCAGGAGTGGACAAACAACCAGAAGTTTAAAGGCAGTGAACCCTAAGAAGAGGAAGAAAGAAAAGTTGCTTATATTTTAACTTCGGTGTCTGTTAATAAGTCATGTGGGAGAGCGTGTACAGTACGGAGGAGCAGATGGATCACCACAGTCTGGTGAGATTGATGCAGAGGGGAGTGACGAGAGGTTCTGGCAAATGCTTGAGGCGCAGAGGAAAGACAAGACGGACATTTAATCAGAATGCTACTGGCACCATTAATATCAGAACTATTTGCTGGCTGCTGAAGATGTACTGTGATGTCGGTTCTTGAATCAAATCAAATCATTTTTAATAAGTGAGAACGTAAATAGGAGTGACTTCAGTGGAGCTGAAAGTTTTAAATACAACACAGACTGTGACCAGAACGCTTAATGGAGGGAATTGAAAGATTAACAGTTGAATACAACACCAACTGTGACTAGACAAATCAATGGACAAGACAACAGAGCTTATAAACAGCCATAGTCAGCATGCAAACATGCTATTATGTAATAGGGGGAAATATAGTAATAGGGGGAAATATAGTCATCAGGGACTATATTACAGAATAAAATAAATAAGAAAGTGTCTGCAAAGAAGAGAGAAGGGATATAAATAGGTAAAATTAAACCTGAATACACTTGTGCTGAATATTGATTTCTACATGATTGAAAACACCACAACTATGAACTGAGTGATCTTCCAAGGAAAGTCAAGTAGTTTGATCACCAGATGAAGATTTTTTGGCAGTAACTGTGTTGAATTTATATACTAGTAGCAGTTTGATAAATTTTTTTTGGCTTTTCTTCAGTGTATTGTCAGTCAAACTCTGTCCATTCTTGCTTGACAGTGAGGATCTGTGCTTCCACTACACACCTGCATGCCCCAAAAAATAATTCCAAAACATGCTAACTACAGGAGACCCTGAAGCGATGCTTGCCATTCTCCATGGAGCATCCCCCCCCCCCCCCCAATCTTTCTCAGCATACTTTGTCAGCCTTACAATCATTGCATACACATATTTGACCCTAACACCATCTCCACAAAATTGATACGTTTAAGGACTTACATTTCTTTTATATCCAGCAACCAAGCCATCTCAGTCTATATGCTGGTTTTATATTGTTCATTCATATAGTTGTATAGAGAAAAAAAAAGACACCAGAACCCTTTATGTCAGATAAGCAGAAGACAGGGAGAATCCTATACTGATGTATGTTCTTCATGTTACAGAAATCTTACTCAGGTTTGAGCCAGACTCTTCCAGCCCTTGCATCTTTCAGGGGCCTGTCTTCTCTCAACGCCACCATGCCAGCTCTGAAGTCTTCCCAGCCAAAGATCAACGGCCACCGTTTGAATAAAACGGTTGTACCAAAACTTAACAACATTCCTAATGGTAATTTGTGATTTATTTTTAGTGTATATGTTAAGCAGTGGTCTCAAAAGTTAACAACATTCTTAAAGGTAATTAGCGATTTAATTTTAGTGTGTCTTAAACTGGTCTCAAAACTTGACAGTATTTCTAATGTTAATTTGCTATTTATATTTTGTGTATCTTTAACAGCGGTACCAAAACTTGACAACATTCCTAACTGTAAATTATGTGAGTATTAAACAGTGGGAGTAAAAGAGACACTACAGAACACAGTGTAACATTACCACAAGCTACACAACCTGCAGTACTTTACGGCAGAAGCAGTAGGACAAAAGATGAAGTTCTTGTAATAATTCTTATGGGAATCCATCATATTATTGTTAAGTTTGAGATAGCTAAGACACACTTGAAAGATGAAGGATTGTAGTGTAACTAAGGATACCTTGATTTATAGATGGGTAGATCCCAGGGTTGATCTCTACTAAAATTTAAAGATGTGTGCAGGTGGGACATGAATGATAAAAGTATTGAGTTGGATTCGTGAGAACAGGGTGCTATGGATCCCATCTCATGGAGAGTGAAAGTCGGGATGGGAATTTCCTGTGTGGGTTCCGGGGGTCCTATTATAGGGAAAACAAGAATAGACCCACTGCCTACCCAAAAGCATATCGTAAGAGTCGACTAATTGGGAGCTTCTTTCAAAGTCGGAGTGCATCTGCCTGACAGGCAAGGAACCAGCAGTCTGCACACAAATGAGTCAGATCTGTAAAACGGATGCAAACGCAACACTCAGGTTCTAAAACAGGACTGCAGTCCAGAAGTGGATGAACAACCAGAACTTTCCGCCAGAGTTTACAGCTGGTGAACACGAAGAAAAAGAAGGATGGGAATAAGGGCAAAGAAGACAAGGATTGCAGATAACTTAAGAGCTGAATGTCTGAGAAGTAACATGTCAGATGCACAATAGTGGTCTTGAAGTCTCATGCAGTTGCTGAGGAAGATTTGTCAAGCTAGTCTTGCTACTCACTCGCCATCACTTCAGGCTGTGATTCCATGCTTTCCCTGTAGCACCAAGGAACACTCTTCTGGAACAACATTTCCATCATATTGTCTGTGACAAGATTCCAGTCCAGTTGCCATCACCATAGATTGAGGTTCCATGCTTGCCTGTAGCACCAGGGAACACTCTTCTGGAACAACATTTCCATCATATTGTCTGTGATAAGATTCCAGTCTTGTGACTTCGGACAATAACCTCTTCACAATGCTGCGATGTTGTTTGGTTTTAAAGCGTAACCTTGATCCACACATAAAAATATCTGCCACTAAGTGTTGTTATTCCTATGCCCTAAGATTTTCACAACACAGTAATTCCAGCATCAAAAATCTAAATGAATTATTTGTTAGTAAAAAAAAATTATAAATATTAATTAGTGTCTTGCTGAGAGGGCTTTTTAACCACAAAGACCAATCTCTCTCTCTTTCTCTTGCTCTCTCTCTCTTGTGATTGTGTTGTATCTCTGACCACTTCTAATTTTCATTTACTGTGGTAAAATCCAGTTAATTTTCCTCTTTTGAAAAGTAAAGAAGACAATAATCTTGTGTATATTATTTCATCAATTAAAAGTCAGTTATAATATTACGCACAATTTTAACTTGTTCAGTGAATTGTATCAAAATAGAATTAGAAATTCCTTGACATTTTATGTTTAAAAGGTTGGACTGAATTTTTTATTAACAAACCAAATGTTTTATAAGTTTTTTTTTAAGGTCATTCATGGTATTTTTCTTGTCAAGACTTTGCCGTTATTTTTAAAACTATTTCCGGAGAAGCTACTGAGCCCAAATTTTGTCCTCCTTATTTTCTCAATTGTGGTCAAAATTATTCAATGATTATAAAAAGCTGGTAATAGTGACTAGTGGATGTAAATCAGAACTGTTTGGTTTTTCAGGTAAAGCGTCTCACATTAACAGTTCTGAAGAGTCAGAAGATGAGGAGGAGGAAAAGAGTGAAGAACAGAAGGTAAGTAAGTGTGTTACCAAGTAAACTACTATGTTTTTTTTAATAGTATTGAGCAAGCTACCTCTTTCATAAATAACGTAATTGGCTTCCAGTCTTGACAGGTACAGCGCTTGATTGACACAGATTACCTGATTGATATATTGCTCTCACTTGCATGGGTTCATTTCAGGAACTGCAATGTTTGCTCATGAATGATGTTTTGTGGATATCTCTGGGGATCTTCAGTGAACTTTCTGCTTTATACAAACAACACTGTTGGTATGTGGTCTGCCTCTCTGCAGAGAAAGATTGAGCCATATGTCAATTACAACAAAGTCGATAGTATCAGCCTTTTAAATTTTAGTATTGCTACTTTTGGTTACATTTTGTAAGGTATAGAGGATCTCAGTTAAAAATATTGTCCTTCTTATTATGTTTGAACATGTCCTCACTTTTACTGTTTTTGTATGATGTAAAAAAGTAAAGGACTCTTTTCCACACCTTTATGCGTATAGGGCTAGACCTATATTTTTATAGACCAATCGGCACAGGATGGGTGATTTTTTCAGCATCACGCCAGACGCCTTTACTTTCCCGGGACTGCACCCGGTACCCACTCAAGGCTGGGTCGACCTGGGAGCCAAGGTCATTTTTGAAAAAGTCCTGCTCCGGCAGAGAGTGAACCCACAACCTTCCGATCCACGGCGAGCGTCTAGCCGCTTGGCCACGGCGACTCCCTTTGCATGATGATTGTTGTTACACTTCAGTTTAGTTTGTGTATTTCTGAATATATTTTATCCATTCATTGTCCTGTTATGGTTATATGTCACATAGGGCTTGCAATCTTTTCCTCCTTTCCATTCTATCATGTGCATTTAGTTCAATATGGATAGAATCCAGTCCAGTAGCTTTGACCTCTGTCATCGACGTTCATCGTGAGGGTTTCTTTTGGGCATCCTCACCTCTTTAACCCCTTTATTTTCCATGTTAGTTATTGCTTGGTGATTCTGAGCTGGTTTCTTCCCAGGAGTGTCTAACAGAGCGCCATCTTCTCTGTCTTATGTTGATACTAGTGGCTGCTCAGATATTTCTCTTATTTTTTTCACCCCTTTTGAATTCATCTTATTTTGTGTTCATCCTTTTCCTCAGGCATTAGTTTTCAAATGTATTTAAATTCTCCAGCTTTTACTGGCTGATGTTAAAACTGAAGAAGAAAAAAAAACAGAATTGAAAATAAGTTACTTGGTTTTTAAACTATGTAAGTTAGAGTTCCATATTTTATTTAGGCTTTTAAAAGCTGTTGATGCCTTGCCAATGTGTGTTATCATTTCTTTCTTTGTATTTCCTTTACCATCAAAATTATTACCTAAATAAGTAAATTGATTGGCTCTACTTTGAACTTCCCCATAAAATGGCGGCCGTAATATGATGGCACATTCTGGCCATAAAATATCCAAAAATATCCGAACGGTGTTGAGGCATATCTAAAATACAGACTTTCTGCCAAGGGACAAATCGCGGCAAAACTAGGATTACTTGACAATCAATATCAACATTGCACACGGTAGTAGCAGACGATAAATACCGACCGTTGACAATTTCGAGCGTTTCTGCAGACGATGATACTAGCAGACGATATTAGCGACCTTTAACAATTTCGAGACATTACAGACGATGAAAGCTGATTAGCAATACTGTGTTCTTCCGATTGGAGGATTTAGCAGCGGTAGATGTCAGATTTGTCGGCATGCGCCAAACGCGATTAAACTCATCACCGAGCGTATCCCCCGCTCTGCTATGTGCGGCGCGGATGGGGGGAGGGGGGCTGAACTAGGTGCCTGTACTCACGAGTAAAGTAATTGGGGGAAGTTGCAGGAAATGCGGTAGCTGCCGCTCGTGAGTCCCAGCCATCTAGTTTAGTCCCCATCCACGCCGCTATGCGCGGCGCTGGGGATACGGTCGGCGGTGAGGGCACACTTGCAGAAGCAGGTCCGCAAGTAACGTATCACCGAGACCCTGTTAGAGCATTTGTTTCGTTATGCAGAGCCGGCACATATATTTTTAATAGAACTGAGCCCCATTTGGATATTTTTGGATATTTTATGGCCAGAAATTGGCCAATTTAGCTCTCTTTCGAACGGCATCATATTACGGCGTCTATTTTATGGGGAAGTTCAAAGTAGAGCCAATTGATCTTTAATTCCTTTTGTCTCTAGTGTTACATCTGCTTGATTGGTTATTGGTGTTTTCAGTATAATTGTCTTTTCATAACTTATTTGAAGTCCAGCCTTTGATGCTGTATTTGCTAAATCATCTGTTTTTCTTTTTCTCAATACATAGGAGAATGTTTTTATTATTTTTTTGTCATATTTATGTTAATAATTTGTATTTAAATTTTATTTTTTTAATTTATAAAACTAACTTAAAAAATGTTCTTTGGTAATGTTTGCTCACTTTTACTGCAGACGTGACTAACATTAATCCCATTTGGTAGGTTGTGAAGTTTTTTATTCACATAATGTTTTTGATTTCTAATTTTTTTGTAATGAAATCTGCCATTCAGCCTCCAAACCGATCCACAAATGCAGCTTTTCCTGTGGCATCCCCACGACGACAACCTCCTCAGTTACAGGTAGAGTTTTCGTATGTTTCTTGTTTGTGAACTTACAGCATGTGCTTATGTTGATTACGTGACTAACTATGGTGTTGGTTTTTTTTTCCATTCAGATAAGTGAAGTAAAGGAAGTAAAATCATCTCTATCAAGTTTGTGTTATCAGCACATTTCTTTATGGTAATAAAACTTGGTCGACTTATTCATACCAGGGGAAAGGGCTGAGCAGCTTTCACAGGCTAGGCCCCTGAAGAATACCTGACGTTATAGGGCAAGACAAGATCACAAACACTGAGGTATTGGGGAAAAGTAGGTGTAACAACAGTTCTCTCAATGCTGACTCTTTGAAGGCTCTGATGGCTAGGACATGTTTTTAGGATGGTAGAGTTCCTAAGGACTCCCTTATGGTATATTACAGATGGGCTAGTCCGGTACCACAATATAAAAGTGCGTGCAAACGGGACATGAATGATACATGTATTGATGTAGGTTACTGAGAACATGTTGCATTGCAGGGGGAGGGTTGGGGGAGGAAGAGAATAGGGATAAAGGAGAGACATGTAAAATACATGTGATGGCAAAATTTAGGTCCTGAAATTCCTGCTGTAATTGTAGGAAACTTCTAAACATGATTGGATCTATCTAGTCACGCTTGCCGTCGCCATGGACTGATTCGCCTGTCTGCCTATAGCACAGTGTAATACTGTTATCTAAAAAGACGGAAAGTTGCAATCATTTAGCTGGGTCTTTCTTAGTCCAGTTCAGTTAATTTCCACCTGAAAAGTGGATTTAGACCATAGCTTATTGAGTGCAATTAATTTATAATTGGTGCCATGTTTATGGGCAAGGCTAATTTTTAAAAAATATTTTGGCCTAGGCATTTGCCCTGAGAAGCCGCAAACCCGGCACTTCCCACAGGGTCTAATTCCCCATAAATGCTGCTTAACCAGAATTTATACAGTGGCATGTTTATGAGCCACCTAGCTAACGCCATTGGTTATGTTTGCACCTGTGCAGCATTTAGGAGGTCAAGATATGAATATCTTTACTAAAAATAACATTTAGGGAGATTTTCATGTAAACCAACTGATTGCTTTTAAAAGCCATATTGATGACATATTTTCTGTAGCCTCTGTGGTAGACTTGAGTCTGATGTTTTTCTTCAAAAACTTATCTCCCAGGTCGACCCAGCCTAAAAATGGGTACCAGACATGTCATTGGAAGTAAAGGTGACCGGTTTGATGTTGACGACATCAGCCATCAAATCCTGATTGATCTATACAAAAATGAGTTTAGCATCAGAGGCCTGAGCATCACCGGCATGAAAAAGGGTCCTGAGAGAGAAAGAGAGAGAGAAAGAGAGAATGAATGAACGAGCAAGAGAGACAGTGAGAGAATGGGTAGGTTTCTAATGTTGACATGTATCTGACAGAAGAAAATTTAAAAAATATATAAACATATTCTTTGAAATGTAAAATTACTTGCCTGCTGGAGATAATAAAATATTGAGCATAATCATCCACACTGTTTGTCAAGACAGTTGATGATGGTGATGACTCTATAACCTTCTGCTTGGTGTTGTTTGATTGGGTGTTGCTATAGAAACATGTCCATATAAAATTCTTCTGTATATTTTTCTTGTGCACTAGTTTTATGTGTGCGAATTTTCAGGAGCAAAACCACGTGGAGGATGGCAGTGATGGTGATGATGAGAATGACAGCATAAGTGACGATGAAGCCCAGCACGAGAAGGAGAAAAACCGACAGAAGCGAGAAGTGAAGGATAAACAGAACCAAAATAACAATATCTTAGAACTGCCATCCAGAATAGAAGCAAAACTAGACAGTGATGTTGAACTGGGGGAGGCAGACGTGCAGAAAGCGAATGTAGCAGAATTGCAGTTAGTAGGTGAGAATGCTAGTGGAAAAGATGAAGAGACAAGTGATGAAGTTGACGAGCTTGATGAGGAGGATTCAGCTCCGAGGGAATCGCCCATTGTAAGAAGTTATTCTTTGAGTGCCATCATGAGTAGTTCCCTTCGAGACCTGTTTCTTGTCTGCTGTGGTTTTGTGGCTAGATGTGTCTAGTATGTTTTATTTTATCACTGCCAGTGTTTCTTTCTTGAGTGACTCATTCCTGAATATCTGCAATCATCTCATTAATATTTGCAAAAGCCTGTACACACGTAGTAAATGCTGCATAAGATCAAAGGCAGATTTGTCAAGAACTTTTATAGTGAACTCTGGTGTGCGCCAGGGCTGTGTACTATCGCCACTTCTTTTTATAACATACATGGATACCATATGTAAGGAAACGAGCTTTAATCATGAAGAAGATATTAAAGAATTACTATTCGCCAAAGACCAGGTACTCAGCTAAAAGTACGAAATGCCTACAGAACCACCTAAATCAAATTAGTAGCAAAGGGGAGGAATATAATGTGAAATTATCACACTACGAAGACAGAGACAATGATGATAGGAAGACATAAAGACAATTTAGAAATAAAATTAAAATACAACACCTGAAAACAGACAGAGGAATTTAAGTATTTGGGATCAATTTTCACATCAGACTGAAAACTGGACGAGAAATTAGCTCAAGATGTGCCAAAGCTAATTAAGTAATGGGGCAACTATTTTTCCTGTTGATACACAAGCAGATACGTCGGAGTACTAACGTGAATCTTATCAGAACTATTTTTTGGCCAACACTATGCTATCAGTGCCAAACGTGGACAATTACATCCTCCAATGAACGTAAAATTGTGACAACAGAGATGAAATGCCTTAGAAGAGCTGCAGGAGTTTCAAGGAAAGACAAAATACGGAATCATGAATTTAGACAAATGCTAGGAATAAAGCCAGTCTTACAAGTCATCAAAGAACAACAAATGAAGTGGTTTGGACACCTAACAAGAATACCCTGGTACTATTTGCCACAGCGAGCCACACTAAAACATTACAACGGGTATAAAGCGAGTGGGAGACCTTGGAAAATATGGAGTGATGGCATTAAGAACAGCCCTGTAGAAATGAACATCAGTCTTAATAGTGCTCTTTACAGAGCTCATCAACGAATGTTACATCTCCCCCCGACACTTCGATGAGGTACAAGGTGGATGAGAAGAAGAAGAAGATTCTGCACTGCACAGAAACGGAACCAGAGTTAAAGTATGACATCTAGTGTAACTAATGGATGTAGGATTAGGGTAACTAATGAATGTAGGTTGGTGTGTTGCTTGGCACCAAGTGGGTTAGATGGGCTGCCTCACTTTGCTTTAATTTTTTTTTTTTTTTTTCTACTGAATAAATAAGCAGGCTTTTTTGTGAGTATGGTGTGGAACACTTTTATTTTGGATTAAGCTAGAGACCCCAAAAATGTTGGCAAATAAATTAGATTTGTCATGTACTTATATATATATAAATATATATATATAGCCCAGTTGTAAAGACTTGATATGTGCCATATTGAGGAAGCACTCTAGTTGAGATTAACAAATAAATTAACCATTGTCCCCTTCTCCAGTTAATTAACACAATTATTTATTTGATTCAGATCATTTCAACACACAGTGGAGCTTTTTAACTTGCATGAGTTGTAATTATGTTTTTTGAGCACCATGTATTTTGTTTCTCACATTATTCTATTAAGCAAAAATTTGCTTTTGATGTGTGCTGAACTGTTTATACTTGGTATCACAATTTCTGCCATTCTTTTGGTGGATTGTTGTAATAAATTTCTAGTGTCATGTTTAAAAAAAAAGGTTAAAAGTAGGGCACTGTAGGGCATACAGATATTGTAACTTTTGAAGTCTGGATAGATAGCCAGTATTTTTGGCCGATATTAAGTAGTTAGAATTCTTCTTATTCCTCTTCTTCTTTTTCTTCTTCTTCTTCTTCCTCATCTTATTTTTTCTCTTCTTTTTCTTCTTTCTCTTCTTCTTCACCCTCTTCTTCTTCACCCTCTTCTTAATCTTCTTATTTTTCTAAGATCGCCTTTAAAAGGACAGACTACAGATTATGTTGTTATTTACAGGTAGACTACGAATTCTGCACCTTTTGACCCAAGACATCTAATTTTAGCATTAGTTGTCTTTTACAACATGTTTATTAAGGGACAGGAGGTTGGTCTGTTCTTTCCCTTTTAAAAAGGTGGGGGGCCTCAGAACCTGCAGCAAGAAGTCACAATATTCCAGGCACTACATTGTTATGGTGCCAGGCTGCAGGGTAGTGTTGGAAGTATAGGTAAAGTGTGCGAGAATTGTGTTTGCTCGTCTGTTGACAATATGTCACCAAAAAAATTTTAATGTTAGCTTCTAACTTAGCCGTCAGCTGGCACTGGAAATATTCCTTCTATTATTCTACTCTGCGGGTTTTAAAAAAAAAAGTTAAAGATTGCTGTTTTTAAACGGTGTATTACATCCAAATAATTTTGAAGAAAAAACCACTCCTGAAATAACTCTCCCTTCTCCTCTTCTTCTTTTTCACTGGTTGTAAACCCCGGCAGAAAATTCTGCTTGTTCATCTACTGCTGGATTTTGTCTTGTTTTAGAACTGGACTTTTGCCTGCATGTCTGTTTTACAGATCCGGCTTATTTGTGTGCAGACTGTTGTTGGTTCCTCATCTCTGAGGCAGATGCACTCCAACTTCAAGAGTCCCTACCCCCAATTAGTTGCCTACTAGGACTGTTTGTTAGGGGGCATATGGTGTGTTCTCCATCCTCCCCCCTCCCCTCTTTAAACTGTGGGCCCCGAAACCCAAACCGGGAATGAATATAACTAATGTTAAACTTCATCCGTACATCGTAGGAAGAAGCTCTTATAACGGAGCAGTTATCATGTTTGCACATTGTGAGAAGAAAAATTAGAATAGATAACATAGGGAGGGGGGAGGGGAGGGGGGCCTGGATAAAGGCATATGCATACTGAAACCAGTTATAGAATATTCTTGACAGTCTTAGCTTGAAAACATGTGGCAAGGCATGAGACCCCATGCCTGTTGACAAGGCAGTTGATGATTTTTATTGTTACTTGTTTGTACGTCCGTTTCTATTATACTTCAGCTTTCTTATCAAGCACACATACTACACTTTTTATATTCTCATTTTATTTGTTAATTGTTTATCTTTTTTTTTTTTTTTTTAATTGAAATGATGGTTATTATTTTTTTTTTTGGGTCATTGTGATTGCAATTTCTCAGTTATCAGTTAGCATTCTTTGTGCTTTTGCTGTTCATAAACATGCCATATTTTATGTAAAAACATCCACATGTATGCTAGCTAATTCACTATTCTCACATAGTTGTGTGTATATATTTACAATGTTTTTGTATACGTGTGTAACAATACCAGCAGTTGCACATGCCAACTAGCTACAGTTGTTTTCATTTGCTCTATCTCAGCTGCCCTAAAAAGCACAATTTTTGAGGTATATATTCCCTCTAATGGCCACATTTGCAAGTCACAAGTATTTTTTAGAAATTGCAAAAAAAAAAAAAAACATAGCAAAACTGATTGTTCCGTAAGAAATTCACATTTAACCTATTTGGGCTAGCTTCTTAAATAGCAAAACTGATTGTTCAGTAAGAAATTTACATTTAACGTTTTTTGTGCCAGCCCCTCAAAAATAATATTGTATGCATTATTTCTCATTATACATGGTTATCATTTAGTTTGTGTTACTGTTGATTTTATGATAATGATCGGCAATGTTCAGTATGTAATTGACCTTATTTATTGTTGAACTTGTTTCTTTTAACAACCCTTGTGGTGGTTCCTGGGCACCATTTGGGGGTGAGGTGAGGGGGAGAGAATATACTGGTCCCTCCCACATCTTTTCAACAAGCATGTCATGAAAGACAGAGGCTTTGGGGTTTGCTGAAATTGAAAATGTTAAACCAGATGTGTCACAGCCTAACTGTAAACCACAACATAACATGCTTACCAGCCTTTTAAAAGGCGAGCAAAGAAGAGGAAGAATACGTTCATTGTAATGGATATTATCACTTTGGGTTGTGAGTGCAGGGACTAGCCAGCTTGCGCTGCAGAATCAGAAGTTCAACAAATTATTCATGACAATTCCCGCCCAAGTGATGTGGTTATCTATACAGATGGCTATGTGTTGAGGGGCAGACAAAGTACACGGTGTTTCATAGCACAAGCAAATGGACGTCGCCTAGTACAGCAAAGCCTTGCCTATGACGTCTAGTTTGAGAATGGAGTGGAGACAGTCACTGCTGCCTTCCACTGGCTTGAGAATCATCTGTACACACATGCCTTGATTGTCACTGGCTCACAGAGCATGTTGAGAAAGGTAGGGACAGGTATGCTCCGTTCAGAGTGGCAAGCATCACTTCAGACATCTGGGGTGGTTAGTATCCTTTGGATATTCTCTCCAGGTCTTGCCAGTGTTTTGGAAATGAACAGGCAGATAGACTGGCTGGCTCTGCACGACTAGGTGATGAATTGATGTATGACAAGCTAGACGTTGTGAGAACCCTCTGGAAGCGAGTGAATAGTGCGGAAGCGCACATAGATCATTATGGTCTGAGAATGGCACTGCAAGGAATTACCAGGGGATCTGGCTGACGCTTAACACTCAAGGAAATTGTGAGACGGATATAAAGTCAGACAGTTATTGGTGCCTTCTGGATTGAAACTCTTCATTTGCTGCTAAAGATGGGGACGGAGCGCTTATGGGGGTGTCCCGAGTGCTAGGATGTCGATTTTTTAAATCAACATTCAACATCCAGTGTTAATCAAAATATGATGTTTGTTTAGTTATCGTCATTATGATTGTTTGGTAAGTGAAGTAAGAATTATGAGAAGAGATGAACAGAGAATCACCAAACAGTCACTGAGATGGGAAATAGAGGGACCGAGGAAACAAGAATGACTACAAGAAACCCTGTGGCGAACGTGGATGAAAGAAGCCAAAGTGCTGAACTCGATTCCGTCCATGATATCAAAGTGATTGCACAGGATAGAAGGAAATGGAGAAATAGACTGTGAGCCCTATGTAACATGTAATGGCACAACATGATGATGGATAACTGTGGCGTAAAGGGGCCTTTTTCACACCGTTGGAGCTGCAGACAAGTGGTTTTAGATCAATACATCATGTATCAGTAACGACATCATCATCATATACCAAGTCTTTTTTGAGACTGTGACTCCCAACAACTCCCACTGGAAAGCCCCTTAACCCTTTCCCTTTCCAATCCCCCTATCTTACATATTTTGATGTCCAACGGATTAACAAATTAATATCCCAAATTTGTGCTTGTCAACTCCTGACCTTTACTATTCTATTTGAGCAAATTAGTTTCAGTAACTTGTGTGATTACATGCTGAACATTACTCCAGAATCTTCTTCTTCTTCGTCTTCACTTCCTCTTTTACCGCTGTGGGTGTCGAGGGAGATATAAGGTTCTGTTTCTAGCTCTTCTGGCTGCCTCTACCATAGGCGCATCGTGCTGTTGTAGAGTTTCTCTGATGTTATCCTTCCATCTTGTTCTTGGTCTACCTTGTGCTCTACGTCCTTCTTCTCTTTCCATGTATGCTTTGTATGGTATGGTGTCACAAGGCATTCTCTCTAAGTGGGCAATCCATTTCACTTGCTGTCTTCGTATGTAATCCAGAATTGGTTCTGTGCCGACTTTTTCTCTTATGATCTCATTCCTGATCTTATCTCTTATGGTCACTCCTACAGCCCTTCTTAGACATCTCATTTCCGTGGTTACTAATTTTCTTTTATGGTTTGTTGTGAGTGACCATGTCTGGCACTGGTAGCACAGAGTTGGAATAAATATGCTTTGAATTAGATGTCTCTTTGTGCTGATTGGGATTGTCTTATGCTGTAAGAGGGGGGTAGCTGTCCCAATACTTGGTTTGCTTTACTGCATCTAATGTTAATTTCTTTATCCAATTTCCCATCTTCAGTAAATGTAGTTCCCAGATATTTAAACTCAGATGCCTGTTTAATGCCTTTACACTCTATTGCTATGTTTAGATCTGTCTTCTTTTTGCCTATTGACATGACTTCTCCAGAATCAACAGTCATAAACTAAGGGGGTTTCAGTACCATTGGCCTCACGTTCTGAAGATGATAGGTTTGTTTCATGGCTGTATTATTCTGTTCACTGGTGCAACTTTTGCGGAGATCCCTGAGGATTATCTACAGAGTTTTTTCTTTGTGTGGCGCTCTCGGCAGGCAGCTGGCTGTTCTATGGGGAGAGACCGAACCATGTGGGATCAAACCCAGTACAATTCATTTATCTCGGCTCTCAGGTTGACCCAGCCTAAAATGGGTACCAGGGGATGACAGGGGAAGTAAAGGCAGCTGGCATAATGTTGTCCTGCCTGGTTTTGTCTTCATGTTATTTTATATCTATTCCAAGCAGTAGACAAAAAATGTCTTCTTGTATCATTTCCTGCAGGCACAAGCTCCGGTGGCGACACCAAGGAGAAAGAAAAGTGATGTGCATCAGGATGAGGTGAAAGAAGCAGACAAAGACTCGGACAGTGAGGACAAAGGTCAGCTCTCTTTCTCTCTGTCGGTCTCTCTTCCTCTGTCTTTCTGTCTCTCTCTCTGTCTGTCTCTCTGTGTCTCACTTTCTCTACCTATCTCTTTGTCTCTATCTCTGTCTCTTTCTATCCCTCATCTCTTTCTCTTTCACTCTTTATGTTTTTCTTTGCTTTTCACATATGACTGAATGTGAAATTATGTGTTTGGTGGAATGTCTGTGTAGATATGTACATGCTAGCCCACACATTAGACCTAGATTATTCATATTTCCACTATACATTTAGGGATTTAAATGTCAAGAGACTGCAGCCATATATCCAGGTGAATAAATGGGATCTGTGGGTCTACCCCTCCGACTCCCCCATGTGGCTGCAAGATGGAACCCAGATGCCCATAACATAAGACAGTGCCCACATGTCCTCCAATGTTTTCATGCTTGTCTGAGATGACTTAATGATGATGTTCAATCCACCGCACCATGTGGGAAGTATATCATCATTTTCAGATTTTTATCAAAAATCCAGTCCAGCCCTGAAACAAACCTGGTTTACACAAGGCAGGGACAGATATAACATCTAAACACAATCCTGCCTCTCATGAGTGACTCTTCTTTTGTCTGATCTTTGCCTAAACATAGCGGGAAGACATGACTTTCTCATTTAATGTTGCTTTTTAAATTGTGATAATATGATTTGGTTTATTCTCTAGATCTCAAACAGGAGGAGAAAGAGGCAAGGAAAGATCCGAAGGAGAAACAGAAGAAAAAGAAGAAAGAAGACAAGGACAATGGTGACAGGAAAGAGAAAAAAAACAAAGGTAGAGTACTCAGATTGCAGCCTCTGCTTAGTTGCAGTTCTGCCTGTAATATTGGCAGCATCCTACAAGATGTATTACAGAATGTCTGGCATTAAACTTTATTAGAACGGACATATTTAAAACTATTTTGTCAAACACTGCAAGTTCAGACATCTTTCTTCTTTAATGTCATCACTTTATCTTGCATTATCAAAGGCTGACCTAGGTAAAATTAACACCTGTGAAATAAGATGCCTGAGAAAAGCCGCGAGCTTAACCATCGAGAAAAAATTTAGAAATGAAATCAGACTGACTATGGGAACAGCACTGTGTTGGAAGTTCACTGAGAGACAGAAGATCAAATGGTTTGGTCATCTGTTAAGAATGTAACTAGAACTACTAACTCATGTGCTTCAAATGAAAGGACCTGATGTGAAAGCAAGAGGTCACCCTAGGAGAACAAGGATTAATGGCATTAAAAGCTTCTAGATTTACACAGTAGCCATTGCTGCCCAGCAAGTAGTTGATCGCAGACTGTTCCTTCACACAACGCTTAACGGCAGAAGTGTACATTTATGATGATGATGACTTATCTTGCTGAAGAAAACTGGTTTGTGAAAGTTTATACTCACTTTATCTGCCCTTTGTCCAAATTGTCAGTGATTCATCTAGAGTTACACATTTAAAGATGAAACTCTCAGCCAACTAGTGCCAAGTCATCCGGTCTTTTGCCATTGTATGCAGCTCACCTCATGTCTTCCAAGTCTTTTTTTGTGTTTTTAATTCTCTTGGCCATTTATTTTTCAGTCCCCCTTTATATTTATTTTTTCCCCTGTGTATTCCAAGGTAAGGGCTTTCATTTAATTCCCCCCTAAGCTGTCCAGGCACCAATTAACTAATATTTTTGTTTTTTTTAATAATAATTTTGTCATTCTCTATGTTTCTGCTCTACACGTCAGTACTGTTTTTACATCAGAGCTATGTATTTTAGGAGCTGATGGGACCTTCTCTTTGTACCGCTCAACTTACATTTATATGTTATAATATATTAAAACATCTGATTTACTACATGTATCTGAGATTAATTTTTGTGTGAAACATAATATTTTGGTGCTTTCAGGTCATCATATTTTTTTTTACACCAATTTTCTCTCTTTCAGAGAAGAACAAGAAGAATAAGAATGTTGATAAGAATGAGAACAGTGAAGAGGAGGAGGATGAAGAAGAAGTGGATGCCAAGAAAGCAAAGGTATGCAGTTGGTTTATATCTGTGCTACAAGATACATTGTATATCTTTCCTTTCCCAATTCTTTGGTCTGCGATGTCTGTGTCAGAGATGCTGTAATCTCAGATATGTAAAGGTCATTTTCTGTGTTAACCCTTAAAAGGGCAGTTAGCATAGTATGTTGTGGTTTACAGCTAGGCTATGATATCTGCAGCTTTCAGCCCAATACTTTTTAATTTCAGCAACATTTAAATGCCAGTCATGGTGAAACTATACTCTAGTGACTTCTGTTGACTTTTTTTCATACGTGTATAAGAAATCTGGCCTGTTTGCACTAACTGACCAGGAAGCTGTCAGTTTTAGAAACAGTCATAGAAACATTTTTTAAATTGGTTGTCTCCATAATAAAGGTTGGCTTCATTGTACCCAGGGAGTTGGCGGAGCCAGACTTTTTTCAAAAATAACCAGATGCAGTCCCGGGAAAGTAAAGGTGGCCGGCAAAATGCTGACCACATCACCCACCTTGTCCCGATTGGTCAATAAAAATATAGGTCTAGCCTTATATGCCCTATACGCCTGATGGCGTGGAAAAGGGTCCTTTACTTTTCTTTTTTTTTTTTACATTGTACCCTCTGATGTCTATTGGAATATTACGTAGTGAGGCCCCAAGTTCTTCCATGGTCTAGCTTTCATACTTGTTCTTCTTCTTCTTCTGCAGTATTCCTAGCCCTTGAGGTTCATTGCTGCAGATATCACCCCCTTTCATTCATCTCCCTGCTTGATCTTCTCGTTCCATTTGGTGACACTAAATGTCTGACTGGACATTGTCTTCTTGGTCTGCCTGGAGGTCTTTGACCCATGCCTATGCAGATTTTTACTTTTATGTCATCTGACATTCTCTCAATATGCCTCAGCCGTTTCAGTCTATTAGCCCTTGTGATGCCAGTGATCAATGGTGATTTAAACGCATTTTGAATTTCATTGTTGCTTCTCACTTTCCATTCCCACTGTTTGCATCTTTGGTGGTTCCAAAGATTCATCGTAAGTCTCTCTTTCTTTTTTTGGTGAAAATTTACAAGGCTTCATTTTTTTTAGTTGTGTTCCAAGTTTCAGAGCCATAAAAAACAACAGGTTTTATCGTTGTTTCATACTACTGCCTAAAAACCCTGAGAATGGATTAAAACAAAATAAACCATCCACTACAGGAATCAAAACTGTTAAATGCATTCACTAACCTTTGAACCCCAGAGTCGCACACATTTATAGAAAAATATGTCCAGTTAATACTAGCAGAGCACAAAATCTGTCACATATTTAGAAATAACTTCATTAAATAATCTGATCAATTAACTGTATTCTATATCTTTTTTTTTTTTTTTTTTACACTTGAACAAAAATTTGGTTTTGTACAAATTGAGCACATAGGTATCATGATTTCATAAACCCTTTCATTAAAAAAGTTATATTTGTACTCTTCTCTTTCTTATAAGTGTTGATACTAGTGGTTGCCTAGACTTTTCTTAAATAGATGTTTTACTGTTACATGCAAGCCATCATTGTAACAGATTTTACTAGTCTTAGATATCTTTCTGTTACAAGCAAGCCATCACTGTAACAGATGTTACCAGTCTTAGGTGTTTCTCTGTTACATACAAGCCATCAGTGTAACAGATGTTACCAGTCTTAGGTGTTTTTCTGTTACATGTAAGCCATCACTGTAACAGATGTTACCAGTCTTAGATGTCTTTCTGTTACATACAAGCCATCACTGTAACAGATGTTACCAGTCTTAGATGTTTTTCTGTTACATGTAAGCCATCACTGTAACAGATGTTACCAGTCTTAGATGTTTTTCTCTTACATGCAAGCCATCGCTGTTACAGATGTTACCTGTCTTAGATGTTTTTCTGTTACATGTAAGCCATTACTGTAACAGATGTTACCAGTCTTAGATGTTTTTCTGTTACATGTAAGCCATCACTGTAACAGATGTTACCAGTCTTAGATGTTTTTATGTTACATGTAAGCCATCACTGTAACAGATGTTACCAGTCTTAGATGTTTTTCTGTTACATGAGAGCCATCACTGTAACAGATGTTACCAGTCTTAGATGTTTTTCTGTTACATGAGAGCCATCACTGTAACAGATGTTACCAGTCTTAGATGTTTTTCTGTTACATACAAGCCATCACTGTAACAGATGTTACCAGTCTTAGATGTTTTTCTGTTACATGTAAGCCATCACTGTAACAGATGTTACCAGTCTTAGATGTTTTTCTTTTACATGCAAGCCAATCGCTGTTACAGATGTTACCAGTCTTAGATGTTTTTCTGTTACATGAGAGCCATCACTGTAACAGATGTTACCAGTCTTTGATGTTTTTCTGATAGATGCAAACAGGACCCAGTCTCTTCCACAGTGCGTACCACCACACTCTGGTACTCAATCAGAAAACCACCACACTCTCGTACTCAATCAGAAAACCACCACACTCTCGTACTCAATCAGAAAACCATCACAGCGGTTTAGAAAACTGTCCACAGAGGATATCAAACTCCAGTACTTGAGGATCATAAAATGAAATAATAATAGCCTGATACAGAAAGAGTTAAACAACCAAAGGTCACATTTGCATGCTTGGTGAATTTGACAAATCGTGCTGACCTCATATTTTGAACACACAAGTAGGCACTCGTGTCAGTAGCAGGGGCATCTTTACTTCCCAGGACATTTTCTTGTAGGCTGACTTGACCTGCTAGCACAGGTCAGTGTTTAAATAATCTGTGAAATGGTTCAAACCTGTGACCACTTACCAACAGGCAAAAGTGCTAGCCTCTGAACTTCTACAACCTCCTTGTCTGGCCTGCAAGTTTGTATCATGTAATGAAAGTAAAACACCCTTTTCCACGGGTGTATTGGGCATATAATACTTGACCTATATTTTATAGACCAGTTGGAAATCGGTGGGTGAAATGTTCAACATCACACTAGACGCCTTTACTTCCCAGAAAATTACCTGATGTTCATTTAAGGCCGGGTTGATCCGGGAGCTAAGATCATTTTTGCAAAAAAGGCTGTATCTGTGGGGATTTGAACCAACGACCTACAGATCTGCAGGCAAACGTCTCCCTATATAATGTAGATTTTCTCTGTCCCCACCTCTTTATATGATTATCAGTGTGGAAAGTTTGCCATTTTTATTTTTCAGAGTAATAAAGCAAAGAATAAGAAAAAGAAGGAAGATAATAAAACAAAGAAGAACGAGACAGAAGATGAAGATGAGAATGATGAGGAGGAAGAGAAGATTAAAAAGAAAAAGAAGCAGAAGAAACAAAACAAGACTAAAGAAAAAACGGATGAGGAAAGCAAAAAGAAAAATAAGAGTGAAAAGAATGATGATGAAGTAAATGAGGTAGATGAGAAGGAAAAAAAAGGAAAAAACAAGGCAGAAGACCAAAGCAAAGACAAGAAAACAGAGGAAAATCACAAAGATAAGAAAAAGAAAGATGAGGCGAAAAATGGGGAAGAAATTCCTGCAGAGAAAAAGGAGCCAGTGAAAGCAAGTCCACCAAAAAGGGTAAATAATATGTCTGAAATTCTGTGTCTTGTTTTTGATGCATGCAAGCCGTTACTATAATAGATGTTACCGTTCTTAGGTGACTTTTGTTACATGCAAGCCATCACTGTAACAAATGTTACCAGTCTTATAGTATGTTCTAAAAGTTGTAGCCTCACACTATAACAATTATCTCAAAAACTCCTGTAGGGATCAGGATAAATTTGTGTATGTGGCC